CACGTCTCAGCAGATATCGGGAAGTGTTGGAACTTCATCGGCATTTCCTCCTAGTAGTAGCGCAGGCCAGTCAGTGACGCATCAACCACCTAAAACGGGAGTCAAGGAACGAAATCAGTTGCTTTCAGGGGGATGGGCTCAAGTCGTGGCCCAAGTACTACCTCATATCTTGCCCAATGCCCCCGGTAGCGGAGGGACTCGGACAATGGCCCTAAGTACTAGGGATTGCGGGCGCCTCAGGGCTACGCGAACCTTGCCTGAGCTGCCATATAGGAAGGTTTCGGATGATAACTCAACTGGTACTAATATGCCTAGTGCCTCCTTAGCTAGCGCGCATGCTGCTGCAGCAAAGAGTGGCGCTCCGCCTCCCAGTACTAGCCAGCCTCAGAGTGAGACTCACGTCTTTCCATTCTCCCAACACAAACAGGCGGTTACTCTCAGTGATAACGTCTCTGACCCTAGTGCTGACACGAGCCACTCTAAGCAGGAAGGAGCGAGTCGTAATTCCTGGGCTGATATGTCGGAAGATGCCCATGATACTGTCACAGGATCACAGAGTTGCATTAAGAGGCCATTATCTCCACCCGCGTCCCCACTCCTGGACACAGCATGGCGCTCATCGGTTAGATGGGAACAACGGGAGTTTGAGGCTGTTAAGTCTCTTGCAGCGGCCTTGGAACGGGCTGCAATATGCCAAGCCTGCTGTGATAGCAGCAGCCATCGTGCAAGAGTCATGGGATGATATTATGGTTATAGTGGAAAGTAAGCACAACTTGATCACTTGGGTTCATGCTTTCCTCAAGCGGCGACCAACATCGTCTTCTCAAGGGGGCGCTTCGCCCAGTGTTCAGACGCCAGTAGCGCCGGCTCTCCCTAGGGTCAACCATGATGTCTCAGAGTCCAACAGTTTGGGCTACACAGGTTTGCCATCAGTGGGAACGTGGCACATGAGTCTTCCCTTACAATTGCATGCTGATGTAGCAGCCGTGCCTTTGGCGCCGCCCTCAGTCCAAGCATGCATCGCGCCGCCTGGGGCAGTTGCGCATCACTATATTGGGAGTCCTTGCTCACAGGAGTGTAGTAAACCCAACTCAATTGAGGAGCAGTACGATAAGCTTGACCGCCCCCTACCGGAGCCTTCGTTGGAATCCGCCCAACTCGGTGCTCAAGTGCCATTGCAAGCGGTATCGACCATACCATTTCAATCTGCACCAGTGGTTATGCCCCAGCTTTATGGGTCAACTTCTAGTTCGCCGCAGGCCGCTGCGAGCTGACTACTGAGTCAATTCGTCCTGTTGGACGGCGTACAATTCGTAGCCTCACCCCCGAGTTTGCACCTCGACCTTTTCGCTATCATAATAGACGCAACCTTCGTCAACTCCAGTTCGACAAGACTTTGGGATACGAGGGAGAAGGGCCATCTAGCGGGGATAGCTCGGACTCGGAGATGCAACGTTGGTTTGCATTTCCTGCCAAACACACTGTTGTGGCTCGGTCCCTACAGTCCCCCAGCCCTTCTTCTGAGGAGGACACGCCTAGCGCAAGACATTCCTCCAATGTGGCTCTTAGTCAGAACCTCCCTTCTTCGAATGCAGGTCGGGGGGGTACCAGCCACATGAAAATCCTCTTGCAAAAAATTCCCCAAGTCCTAAAGCTCAACCTGGAAGTTCAAGTTTTTTATGGCCAAGGGTGAGGGAGATGACTAGGTATATAGGCCTAGGTCTTAGTTCTGCGTGTAGTCCACAGGAGCACTTGCTCCCGGTGGATAATGAACCGCCATAGCTGAGGGACTGGAACAAGATCTTAGCCAGGCTTTTCTGGATGAAGCAATTGCTGAGTTATCTTCAGCTCAGTTCGAACCGATTTCCGTAGAGATAGGAAGTAGTAATCCCGATCGTCCTAGCGGGACGGACTGTGCAAGTTGGGAAAGTGTTCCTAGCGCCAGTTGTCAAGGTGCTAGTGATGTTCCTGCAGTTGCATCAATTGATGTCAAGGATGCTTACGTCCAATCCTCGGGAAGAGGTACTCATCAGGAAAGTCCTATGGCTGAATTTCGAAAAAGAGCAATTGGCTTAGGCCTTAGTGAAGATGTTGCTCAAGTAGTATCTCTCGTACCAGTTCCACTGGGAGTGGGCGATGCCTCCATAGACAACATGATGTCCCGTGAGGCAGCCGCACGAGAGTATGAAGAGCGATTCGAGGCAACCACGTCTGTTGGGAGCAGACAGGAGAGTCAGAACGTACCTCGGGATGCCCTAGTCCAAGAGAGGAACAATCAGTTGGATGATTCCTCAGACTCAATTTCGTTTCAGTCAGATAGATCTGAAGCATATCATGAGCGTAAGGCGCTCCAATTATCTGAGAGATTTCATGGTCAGTGTCCTGACCGGAGTAATAACGACAGGGACTCGGATTCCAATCCAGTGAGCTCACCTGTCAGTGGTCCAAATTTATCAGAAATGTTGGAGACCAGGCCGGCAGTTGAGCCTACTGTGGTCGATGACACGCAGGACGTGAAATCACCGACCACTAAGGTGTTCATCATAACACCGTTGGGTCACCAGGATTTTTTCCACCTCTCGGCCCGGACTAGAGGCCTAGATATCGTTCGTGAGAAAGGCTGTTTGGTCCGATGGGAGGCGAGTAGTTTATACTTGACCCATCATACCAACGTCATTGCCATGTTCTCCAATATTCTGGAAGAGGCACCGGAAATTAAGGAAGGAGATACCTTGCTTGGTATTCCAGCTGCGATCTGAAGTAGGGCAGAGCGGTAGCACTAATAGGCCACCTTGTGGCACAGACGTGCCCTCTGAAGCATTGTCAGGCCCTAGACCTATCAAGGTGTTCTTCATCATCCCTACAGGAGATTCAGGGACTGCCCATCTTGAGCCAAGTACTACCGGAAGAGATATCATCTCTCGGAACTTCGAGTGGTTTTTTAGCCCGTGTAAGGCTAGAAGATCTGTACCTGACACGTGGGCCTGAGACCCTTTCGATGACGTCTCCTATTTGCAGTCAGGCGCATATAGAGGAAGGTGATTTACTTGAGTTCAAAAGGTACGATGATCGTGTGCTCTTTGATCTCCTTCCAGATCCTTATGATCATGAAGAGGGGTTTTCACCCTCTAACTTCCATCCGGATCTGCCTCATGAGAGCCGGGAAGGTTCAGAAAGGCAACCTGAGCCAGAAGACCCTAGTGGTCCGCCTACAGGAGGTAATCCTACTCATGGTGCCAGTCAATGTGGCACCGAAGTAGAAGGAAATCTGGAGGCAAGCGTGCAAGTGCATAGAATTGAGGGTGCTCAAGTTAGTGGTTCCCTCGGCTCACTCCAGCAAGTGCTAGGACGCCTCCAAGCCCTTCTTGGGGCTCTGTAGACTCGTCGGGTAGAAGAGTTCATGCCCGGAATGGTTCAGACTCCAGTAGTAATAACCTCAGTAATAGGAACACCAGCTCGGGGGAGTATACTCTCCGAAGCGAAAGTCTCGCAACCTCAAGTGTGGTGTTTGGGAACCAATCTCATTATCACAGGACGAGGAGCCAGACACTGGCTGAAGAAAGGGGGGGGCCACTAGCTCCAGGAGCTTCAATGGACGACCTCCTGCGCGTGCGCAATCTCCAGCATACGGCCCCCATGTTGGATAGTTTAGGGGTTGAGGTCCCGAGTGACCTGCGTTTTATCTACGTAGAAGACTTGATGGAAGAAGGTATCAGTTACGCTGAAGCCATCAAGTTACAAGGATATCCGTCGTCAGGCGCAATCCGACCATCTTATCCTAGTACCTCAGAACTTAGAACTTTGCCGGTTAAGATTCATGGTCGGTTCGGCGCAATTAGATCGAGACCGTGGCGCGGCAGGCGTGCGCAGCCCGCTCAGTCTAATGCCCTGAAGCTGCGAGTTCTAGTACTGCACCCTGCAGGAACGAACCCGTTTCGCCCACAACACTGAATTGGTCTCAACCTCGACCTTTTCACCAAGTGTTTAGGCAGCAGGAGGCACCCAGTATTAACAACGCAGTGTGGATTGAAGGGGTGAAATCTGATGTGCTGGTTCATCCATCCATAGGAACCGTCCTTGATGCTCCGAAACTGCAGCCAGTCATGGACTCTGATGGAGTTATAGTAGTAGCGCTCGTGCGGCACGCCCATCAGTAGGAATGGCTTCGGCAATCTCACCTCAGGAAGAGGATGAATATGAAAAGATTCGTGAACACGAAGAAGAACTGGACGATCAGTGGCTCACAAGCGTGATGATGAATCAACCTCCTGAGTTGCGTAGCGGTGCAAAGCGCAGCCAGCGTCGGGGCTTGTTTTTCTGCTTGAAGCTCGAGGCGCCTTCGGGTAAGGTATCCTCAAGCCGGTGTTCACAGCTTGCACAGACTACATGTCAGGAACTCGCTAGCACTTTACATAACAACTCTGCCTATCATGGCCCTTGGATTCACATCCATCAAGGGGTGGACCACAGAGTTGCTTGAGAGCTGCCTTTGTCAGCCCAAATCTGGTCCATGACCTTCCGCAGCCACGTGCTATTTCCCAACCTTTTGGTCAAGGGGTCTGCAAGCATCCACTCACCGGGCAACCAGTACACTTTAGTCTTGAGCAGTTCTGCGGATTTGGCCATCACGGCCACATCCAGCTGCGCCCGCCTGCACAGTCCAGCTGCTCCGGATCGACAGTGAAAGAGGTCATAGAGAGCTCGAGCATCGGCGACGGCCGCTGCGCCATCCTCGTCCTTGACCCTGACCACCGCCACCGTCTCGTCCGGCCCGTACCTCGTGCCATCACTGACGCAAGTGTCGGGGTCTCACAGAAGAAGGCCTTGATCCATTCCAGCTCTGCAAGGCCATCGTCCATGGCCAGGGCCTCTGATCCCAAGAAAGCTTTAACTGCTCTTCGCAGTCGATGGATGGCCCTTCCAGGAGTTGATGCTGAGGCGGGCCACGTCGCCACCAAGAATCTTCTGCTCGGTGTAGGCGATCAGAAAGCCGCCTTAACTTTTATCTCCATCGTTGCCGACCGAAGCATCCGAAAAGACCATCCAAAGGCCGTCTTCGAGGCTGATCGAAATGATCTTGAGCAGCACCTCCGGGGTGTTGTGGAGCTCCTGGATCGTCTTGTTGATGAATTTGATGTTGCGAACTGTCGGCCCCTCCTTGGACCACGACATACTCATCGCGCAGGAGGCCCCAAGATCTGGCCGACATTCTCTGCCGATCCACAGCAGCGATCCGCCTGCCCCACGGACCAAAGTGGTCTCGGAGGCATCCAAGACTCGGCTTTCATCCTTCACCTTGTCCCGGGAGAGGATGATGGGCTTAAGCTTCTCCTCGATGTCCATGGAGACGTGGATCTCGAACTCTTCGGTCTGATGCACAGTCCTGCCAAGGTACTCTCCAGAGGAGCCGTAGATCACTCGCCATTTCCCAAATCGGAACTTCTGGCGCAAACTTTCCATCAGCTGGCTATGTCTTTCATTTCCTCCCTGAACAAAATCATCCACATCTAGTGGCACCAGGCCTGCGCAACCTCGAAGTCGTTGAGGATTCTCGGAAGCCAGGAACGGGAGATAATAGAGACAAGGGTCGAAAGTAGATTCGACATAGCCAAGTTGATCCAACACCCGCTGCACCGTTTTTCTCCACACGGCCGGTGCGTTAACTAGTCCATAGACCGCGGTAAGGATCTGGATGATGGTGTCTGTCTTTGCCTGGCACGCCAGTCGGGGGCATGGTCGCAAACAAAGGCCCATTCTCTCTCTCGTGGTGGTCGGACTGGCCAAAAGCGCTGCTGACATCCATGATGACAAGCTTGTAGCGAAGGCTGCTCAGGATCTGGAACGCAAGGTAAACCGTGGGAGTCGCCGGGGTCGGTGCATGGCGCTCAAGCTGCTGTGCATTCGGGTCTTTGTGTCCCAGCAAGATCCACCTGGCCTTGGCCTTCCACATCTGTCCGACTTCTTGCTGCTTCTTGGTGAGGATGAACCTTGAGGGCATGATCCGGTGGCCAAAGCTTTCCTTGATCCTCTGGATCTCGTTCGGATTGGTCACAAAGCGGATGGCATTGGAGCCCTCCAAGTTGCCGATCTCCGTCAGCTTGGCCTCGTCGAACATCTTCTTCTCGGCAATGCTCAACGTCCTTTCTTGGAGTTCTTTCCCGGACTTCTTGGTCAAGCAAATCCAGCCAGAGCGCAGCTCGGAGTACGTGTAGAGCGTGTCGCCTCTTTCCAACTTCCCAAACAGCTGGAGGTTTCTGGCGTTCGCTATCACCGGGAATTGGCGCTTGTCGCCCCAGGGAGTGACGCAGTCGGCGACCCACACGCCACCAACTCTTGACTTTGGCTGCGGCTGTCCTCGAGCTCCTTGAGAGTCATGTCCTCGAGGCCTCGATCGAAGAGTCGTTTGTCCTCCTCGGTGTCGATGCCACGATTGATCTCGTCACCAACGGGAACTCCAGGATCTGGATGCCCTGGCCGAGGTCGATAGAACAGCGTGGTCTCGATGTTCCGGACTCCCTCGGGCAGTGCTCTGCTTAGGCGTCGCGGTCTTTCATCGCCGGTGAAGGTCTCGTCGGAGATGATCTCGTTCTTATCCAGGTCCAAGGTTGTGGCCCCGTACTGCTCGAAACCCGGAACCTCGCAGCATTGTTGTCATAGCGCTTCCATACCTTGACGACCGGTGCTTGTGGCCACTGTCCACGTTCGGTCGAAGACGATCTCGGTGCTGACGCCGCCGGTGCTCGTGGTGGTGCCTGTGGTGTTGCTGGTCCGGTCTGTTCCTCGACTGCTGCTTGCGGTACCTGCGGTGTTGCTGGTCCGGTCTGCTCCTCAGCTGCCGCTTGTGGTACCTGTGGCGTCGCTGGTTCGGTCTGTTCCTCAACTGCCGCTTGTGGTGCTTGTGGTCTTGGCTGTCCTTCTCGGAGTCCTGGTGATCCTTGAGGTGCTAGGGACAGAGCGTAGCTGCGCACGTCCGATGGCAGGTCGTTTTCGGGGATCGCAGCCGGAGGCTGCGGCGCTGGGGCTGCTGCTTCTGCCACTGGCTCGTGCTCAGCTCGAACCTGCCCTTCTCCATCAAGGGGTGATCTTTCAAGATCACTGCTGTCAGCATTCTCCTGCGTCACGTCCACAAATCCCTAACCTTCCGAGAAGCTTCGTTTTAGAAG